GTATTTGTTTTATGTACTTCACTGTCTTCCCATGTACTTGTCTACCCTAATTGTTTTCTGTCTATTCTCATATTACTAACCTTCTTCAGTAGATTTCTCTTTCACACTTCCTAAGATATATTAACTCTATATTATCAAATCCTAATTCCTCAGTATATCATTCATACCCCACCCTCAGTTCATTGTCCACCTCCAGAAAATGTAAACCTTTTTACAAAACTACCAATTATATTTTAAATAATTTAATCTAACATTACTGTACATTAAGACCAAACTGTAAACGTCTTAATAAAAACAACTTGTTCATAGGTGATTTATTGTTGATATTCGGATCTGTTAAAATTGTCCTTTCCCACAAAGGAGGAGTCTTGGAACCCTAAAAGAGCACTACAAATCTATAGGGTAAAACCAATAACACCCTATGGGAAGAGAGCTGGAAGACACACAAGCAACATGAAAAGACAAGGAAAGAAAGTACCACAAACAAATCAAGACACCACATCATTAGAATCATTGTCAGCCAAAGCAGAAAAAATGACATGGAAAGAGTTCAGGATATGCATGGTTAAAATGTTCTGTGACCTCAAGGAAGATATAGGTGATCAAATACAGACAGTGAAAGATCACTTCGACAAGGAGCTACATAAACAAATCCAAGAAGCAAAAGATCACCTCAACAGAGAGATAGAAGTTCTAAAACACAAACAAACAGAAATCCCTGAAATAAAAGAAACAATAAACCAAAATAAAACTCAAATAAAAGCATCAGCAGCAGAGTAGACCACCTGGAAGATAGGACATCAGACAATGAAGACTAAAATATATAATCTTGAAGAGAACATAGACCGCACAGTATTAATAGTAAGAAACCACAAGCAGTACATTCAAGAMATATGGGATAGAATAAAGAGACCAAATTTAAGAGTTATTGGGAAAGAGGAAGACATAGAGGTCCAAACCAAAGGAATGAACAAGCTGTTCAATAAAATAATATCAGAAAACTTTTCAAACATGAAGAATGAAATGGAAATCTAAATTCAACAAGCCTACAGGACACTGGATATACAAAATAACAGCAAATTCACAACAAAGCACATTATAATAAAAATGCCCAACATAAAGAATAAGAAGAGAATTTTAAAATCTATGAAATAAAAAAATCAATACACATAGGGAAAAACCAATTAGGATAATGACAGATTTTGCAACACAACACTGAAAGCTAAAAGATCCTGGAACAACATATCTCAAGCACTGTATGATAATGGGTGCCAACCAAGAATCTTGTATCCAGCAAAATTAAGCTTTAGATTTGAAGATGAAATAAAAACCTTCCATGATTAAAAAAAAAAGTTCATAGAATTGATATCGAGAAAACCGGCACTAGAAAACATACTTGGTAAATATTTCGTGATGAAGAAATGAAAAACAGCAATGAAAATCAGCAGAGGGAGGTAGTATGCTGAATGAAAAACTAATCAAAGAAGAAAATCAAGTCAATTTAAATAACAAAAATAAACAAATATAGCTGGGAATACAAACCATGTATCTCAAATAACCCTGAATTTAATGGCTTAAACTCACCAATCAAAAGACATAGGCTAGCAGACTGGATTTAAAAAAAAAGATCCCACAATATTCTGCTTACAGGAGACTCATCTGGTAAGAAAAGGCATACACAGACTGAAGGTGAAAGGTTGTGAAAAATCATACCACTCACATGGACTGTGGAAGAAAGCAGGGGTTTCCATCCTCATATAAAATAAAGTAGACTTCAGGCCAAAGTTAATCAAAAGGGATAAAGATGGACATTATATACTGCTCAAGAGAACCCATACACTGACACAACATAACAATCATAAATCTACATGCCCCAAACAATGGAGTAGCTAGTTCATCAAACAAATTCTTCCCAAGTTCAAGAGTCAAATTGATCACAACACAATAATCTAGGGTGACCTCACTCACCACTGGATAGATCCTCCAAGCAAAAATTGAATAAAAAAACTATAGATCTCAAAAATACAATTAATAACTTTGACTTAAGTGAAACATATAGAATATTTCAACCTGTATCAAGCAGACACATTTTCTTCTCAGCAGCACATGGATCCTTCTCAAAAATAGACCATGTACCATGACACAGGACAACTTTTATCAAATATAAAAGAGTACTACCATGCATTTTATCAGATCATAATGAAATAAATCAATGACAAAATAAAGAATAAAAAATTCTGCATCACAGGGAGACAGAACATTATGCTACTGAACCAACTATGGGTTGCAGAAGACATCAAGGAGGAGATTAAATAATTCTTAGAGGTAAATGAGAACATAGACACAACATATCAAAATCTCTGGGACACTATGTAATAGTAGTAAGAGGAAAATTCATTGCATAGAGCTTCTTCCTTAAGAGAAAAAAAAAGTCAACAAGTAAATTACCTAATTACCTCACACTACATCTCATAGCCCTAGAAAAGGAATAACCAATCAGCAGCAAAAGCAGGAGAAGGCAAAAAATAATTTAAATCAGAGCTGAAATCAATAAAATCAAAACAAAAGAAACAATTGAAAAAATTGACAAAAAACAAAAGTTCTTCTTTGAAAAAATAAATAAAATTGACAGACCCTTACCCATGCTAAATAAGAGAAAAAAAGAGGAAGAACTCAAATTACCAGCATAAGTGATGAAAAAGGCAATATCACAACAGACACTACAGAAATACAGAAGATAATTAGAAATTATTTTGAAAACTTATCCTCTAATAAAATAGAAGATAGTGAAGGTATCAATAAATTCCTTAAGTCTTATGATGTGCCCAGATTGTGTCAGGAAGATACACACAATTTAAACAGACCAATATCAAATGAGGAAATAGAAGAAGCCATCAAAAGATTACCAACCAAGAAAAGCCCAGGACTGGATGGACACACAGCTGAGTTCTACACAACCTTTAAAGAAGAACTAATATCAATACTCTTCAATTAATTTCAGGAAATAGAAAAAGGAGTACTTCCAAACTCATTCTATGAGGCCAATATCACCCTGATTCCAAACCAGACAAAGACACTTCAAAGAAAGAAAACTTCAGACCAATATCTCTAATAAATATAGATGCAAAAATACTCAATAAAATTCTGGCAAATCAAATACAAAATCATATCAAAAATATTGTGCACCATGATCAAGTAGGATTCATCCCAGAGATGCAAGGTTGTTTCAACATACATAAGTCAATAAATGTAATTCATCCCATCAATAGACTGAAAGATAAGAATCATATGATCATCTTGATAGATGCAGAAAAAGCATTTGACAAATTACAGCACCCCCTTATGTTCAAACACTAGAAAAACTAGGGATAATAGGAACATATCTCTAGAAAAAATTATGGATAACAGGAATATATCTCAACATTGTAAAGGCTATCTATGCTAAGCCTCAGGCCAACATCATTCTAAATGGAGAAAATTTGAAGGAATTCCCTCTACAATCTGTAACAAGACAGGGATGCCCTCTCTCACCACTTCTATTCAACATAATTCTTGAAGCACTGGTCAGAGCAATTAGACATATAAAGAAATTAAAGGAATAAGTATAGGGAAAAAAGAACTTAAACTAGCACTATTTGCTGATGATATGACTTTATACCAAGAAGACCCAAAAAACTCCACCAGAAAATTTATAGAAATAGGAAATAAATTCATCAGAGTAGCAGGATATAAAATCAACACCCATAAATCAGAGGCATTTCTGTATATCAGTGACAAATCCTATGGGAAGGGAATGAGGAAAACAACTCCATTCACAATACCCTGAAAAAAAATAAGATATTGGGAATCAACTTAACAAAACAGGTGAAAGATCTATACAAGGAAAACTACAGAACCCTAAAGAAAGAAATCAAAGAAGACCTTAGAATATAGAAAGATCTACCTTGCTCATGGATTGGCAGAATGAATATTATCAAAATGACCATACTACCAAAAGCACTATACACATCTAATGTAATTCTAATTAAAATCCCAATGGCATTCCTCATATAAATAGAAAAAGCAATAATAAAATTCATCTGGAAAAAATAAGAGACCCAGAATAGCTAAAGCAATTCTAAACAGAAAGAGTGAAGCAGGTGGTATTTCTATACCAGACCTTAAACTATACTATAGAGCAATAGTAACAAAACAGCATGGTATTGGTACCAAAACAGGCCAGAAGACCAATGGTACAGAATAGAGGCATAGATACTAACCCACAAAATTACAATTATCTTACATTAGACAAAGGTGCCAAAAACATGCACTGCAGAAAAGATAACATCTTCAACAAATGGTGCTGGGAAAATTGGAAATCTATATGCAAAAAATGAAATTGAGCCCCTATCTTTCACCATTCACAAAATTTAACTCAAAATGAATCAAGGACCTAGGAACTAAACCAGAGACTCTGCCTAAATGAAGAAAAAGAAGGCCCTAATCTTCATCATGTGGGATTAGGCTCCAACTTCCTTAATTAGACTCCTATAGCAATAGAATTAAAACCAAAAATCAATGAATGGGATGGAATCAAGTTTTTCTCAGCAAAGAAACAGTTTGAGAGGTGAACAGAGAGCCTACATCCTGGAGCAAATTTTTACCCCTCACACATCAGAGAGAGCACTAATCTCTAGGGTATATAAAGAACTCAAGAAGCTAAGAACCAAATAACCAAATAACTCAATAAAACAACTAGGCTAAGGACCAAAACAGACACTTCTCAGAAGAGGATATACAATCAATCAATAAATATTTTATTCCCCATCAGAAGTCAAGTCTGATATGAATATGGTTGCACTGGCTGCCTCATCACCTGAACTTCAGGGCAAAGAGACCATAGCATCCTGGTCAGTTCCCCAAGCTAAAGAGTGGCAGGAACTTCTGTTTTTACAGAGACATTTTTCTAGGAACATGCTGTTGTGAATGACTCTAAGGACAGAGGACAAGAGACTTCTCACTCAAAGGGGTGCCAGTAGATTCAGCTGAGCCTGTAGTAGTAGTAGTAGCAGGGAAAGCCAGAGACAAGGCCTGAGCAAAGCTACTGGGTGTTGGCCCTCCTGACAGATGGTAAAGGATTCTTGTCATGTTTCCCCATGAGCCTGGAGCACTGTGGGAGCATCAAGGCTGTCATCATAAGACTGACAGTAATAGTCAGCCTGATCTTCAGGCTGGAGCCCAGTGATAGTCAGTGAAGCAGAGTTGCCAGACTTGGAGCCAGAGAAGCAATCAGGGCCCCTGAGTATCGATCACAGTTATCATAGATGAGGAGTTTAGGAGCTGTTTCTGGGAGCTGCTGATACCAACTCACATAATTGCCACCAATATTTGTGCTGCTTCCAGTGCAGGAGAAGATGACCATCTCTCCTGAAGTCCCAGACAGTGAGGGCTGCTGAGTCAGCACAGACTGGACCCAGGACCCTGGAAGTGAGAGAAACACAGAAAGGATGAGTTTGGTCTAGAAACAATGATAGAATCAGGACCTATATCAGAGCACTCCCAGACCCTATACCCCCTCCATATCATGTCACCTGGGCACTGAATAAGGAATGTGAAGAGGACACAGGACCAGGCCATGCTGAAGGTCATACTATGCTCTGCCTCCTGTTCCCAATGCTGAGGAGAAATTCCCCCAAGTCTCTCCCTTTATACTCTGAGAAGAAGAGGGTATATTCATGCAAATTAGGTTCCTTGCACCCTCAGCTCTGGTTCAATGCCTGTAAATAAAGGYGCCAAGTGTGTGTGCAGGGGTGGAGTTGGGTTGAGTCAGGGGTGTGTGAGGTCACAGATGTGAGCTCCTAACAAGAGAGCATCAGTCAGGGCCAGGTGGCTCATTACAGTTCTGGTTCCTTCCTGGCCCCTCTTAACTGGTCTGTAGTGCCCCTTGTTGTTTATGCACATTATCATATGACATTGTGGTCAGACCCCATGAAACACTCCTATGTCCCCACTACATCTCCACTGCCTCTGCCTAGGTGACACAAAAATGAGCCCCTTGTGTAACCTCCTCATTACCTCAGGAAGGCCTTCTTGCATTCCTCAGACTCCGCATGGTAAATTTATGCATAGTTAACTTGACTCTTGCTTGATCAGGACTAAGATGGTGTCTTTGATGTAAATTCTTCTCATCAGGATTAAGCAGGTGAACATAAAGTTTATGGTTTAATTAGCTTGTGAGTACCATCTAGTTTACCCACAAAACAAAAAATTTGTTCCAATAATCTGTTCACCCTTGATTTAGCAAGGATCTCAGCAACAAATCGTATGAGTAGCCATTTGATGCTAGAAGATCCTTGAATGAATGATTTTAAACTTTCTCAGTTCACATATTTGCAACCCTTAATTTGAGCRAGTGAGACTGAAAGTTGTGACTATGAGTCAATCCAAGCCATGTAACATTTCAGCCACCATTGGCTATATGAAATGCCAYAGGGACTGGAGACCCTGAAAAGACTCAATTTGTAGGACTTATAAATGTTTTCAGTCATGGATGAAAATGCATTGTCCTCTTCACAGTGACATATGCTGATAGTGTGGGCATGAATATCAGTTTTGTTCAATATGATTCAGTGGAATCTCTCAAGGGTTCCATGTTTCCAGATTGTGGAAGTAAATCATATTATAATTTTTAAAAACTTTTTATTTCTTTTTATATTATTTTTAATTTGTTCTTATTAGTTATAGATGACAGTAGAATGTACTTTCACATATTATACATATATGGACTATAACTTCATATTCTTCTGTTTTCACAGGGTGTATAATTACATTGGTCATTYATTCATAAGTACACACAGAAAACTATGTCTGATTCATTCTACTCTTTCCTGTTCCATTCTCCATCCTTTCCCTTCATTCCCCTTTGTGTAATCCTAAGTATTTCTATCTTACCTCATCCCRTGCCCTTATTTTGAGTTATATCACAGAGAATATTTAGCCTTTGGATTTTAGAATTGACTTTTTTCACTTAAAATGATAGTCTTCACTTTCATCCATTTATCCATAAATGCTACAATTCCCTTCTCTCTATGACTGAGTAATATTCTATTGTGTATATATACCACCTTTTCATTATCCATTTATCTGTTTAGGGGCACATAGGCTGTTTCCATAGTTTATATATTGTGAGTTGAATGGCTATAAACATTGAAATGGATGCATCATTATAGTATATTGATTTTAARACATTAGGGTATAAACAAAGGAGTGGGATAGCTGAGTCAAATGGTTGGTTCCATTCCAAGTTTTCTGAAAAATCTCCATACAGCTTTCCAGAGTAGTTGCACAAATTTGCAGATCCAGCAGCAATCTATGAGTGTACCTTTCCCCCACATCCTCATCAACATTGATTCTTATTTGTATTCTTGATAATTGCCATTGTGACTAGAGTGAGATGAAAACTCAGTGTAGTTTTAATTTGATTTTCTCTAACTGCTACTGATGTTGAATATTTTTTTCATA